TGAGCTGTCGCACGGCATGTTTTGGTGTAAAAATGCAATTGTCCTCTGCTCTAGGTTCTCCCGGGGCATACCGGAGGTCCCGAGAGCGGCCAATATGGTCAATGATGCATTTAAAGTCTATCAAAAGCCTATTCATGAAAAAGCTTGCAGAAAAAGCTGTCGCACGGCATGTATTGGTGTAAAAACGCAATTTACCCCTGCTACAGAATCCCTCGGGGGTATCCCGTGATTCCAAGAGCGGCCAATGTGGTCAATGATTTATTTGAAGTTTATGGAAAGCCTTTTCTTGAAAAACCATGAAGAATGAGCTGTCGCACGGCATGTTTTGGTGTAAAAATGCAATTGTCCTCTGCTCCAGGTTCCCCCGAGGGCATACTGGATGTCCCGAGAGTGGCCAACATGGTCAATGATGCATTTAAAGTTTATCAAAAGTCTATTGACGAGAAACCATGAAGAATGAGCTGTCGCACGGCATGTTTTGAGTGATTAAATGATCTGCCCGCATTCAGAACCCTTCATCAGAACCGATTCCAGGGAAATGACCATATCTCGGTTGATTATAGACCGATTTTAGTTCTTGGCATATGATTCGCTTTAGAAATGGTTCTTCTTTAGTTGTATTCACTAAAAATATTTATATTTAACCAGCATCATATATAAAATTGCACCAAAAATTTAGCGGAATATCACCGGTATCGGGTGACCAGGATTATATTAGTTTTCCAGTCAAATGCTCTTGGAAGATTTAAAATCGGATCATATTTGACGAAGTTACAATACTCCAAATTGGACCAAAAATTTGAGTATCCTAGTTATTTTGAGTAAGCCCTGTATGTGCATCATAGTGACAGAAACTTACACTTTTTTTTTAACTATGAAAGTCATCATAACCACGAAAATCAAGAGATGAACTAGTCTTTGGCTAACAATTAGAAGATATGTTAAATTCTAGAGTCTGGGACATTCCGAAATTCCAATCAGCATTCCGGATGAAATAAAAATTGTGGATTTCAACCCAAGATGGCTTCCACAAATCTAATATACCGGACCAAAATCCAATATGGTAGCCTCCGAACAGTGAATATGCATCAAAGCCCATGCAATAAGGGTATCTACGAACGGAATGGGCTTAATGAGTAGAAGCGGAAAATCAACATTCACTGCTATTTTGGAATTCAAAATGGCGAACCAAAATCCACTTTGGTGGCCTCTATACAGCGAATATGCATCTAAACCCATGCAGTATAGGTATTTACGGAATAGGCTCGATGAGTAAAAGCGGAAAACGTCGAAATTTATCTGTTATTGATAGAGCTGGAATTCCGCCAAAAAATTCAAATCACTACCCCAAAAACGTTCAAGCTTCCAAGCTTTAATTGTTTGCCATCCGTGTCATCGGCACCGATTACCCCTCCCAGTTCACCCTCTCTATCCGAGCAATTTTATGTGATTAAATATTGGGCTATTGAAAAGCTTAGGAGGCCAGCTACATTAACTCAAGTCACGGTGGAAATGGCGTTCAGCGTATTAAAGCTCGTTCTTACCGACCACTGCCAACGTTTGGGTCACAAGTGTATACAGTTTCAAATGCCTAATGGTCCTCAAATTGAATCCTGACCTTATCCCAGAAGTAGCGTTGATGCTGAGTGAATCCGTTGAATTTCAAATGCATATTTTTTTACTATGAATGAACCCTGCACTTTCCTTTAGAATCCTTATGAATACTTGGTTCTACACAGATAAAAAAAAAATCTGAATTTTAATTGTGATGTAAACATTCATTCACGTAAACTTGCATTTAATTTCATGCAACCGAGCAACTTGTAAACAATGCTGTTTACAAATATGGGCTTTTGCATACAATATTTGCTACATTGCATGAAATGTCTCAGAACTTTACATGATTTATAATGTAAACTTATATGATATGTGACGCTCCATTTATGTGCATCATATTGAACAGAAATTTACACAACTTTTTCGAACTGTGTATCGCAACACTAAATAAAACATGAAACTTCCTCATAACGGCGCCGGTGGTGTAGTGGTAATCGTGATTACCTCTCACCCCAATAGGCCTGGGTTCAATCCCAGTTGGCGCCGCCGGGATGTTCTGAGGCATAACATCTCTGATCACGGGAAGTAAAATCCGTTGGTCCCCGGTTCATGAGTTGATGGGTCGATAGGTAGGGTCCAAGTGTGGGAGCTGCCTCCCTGGTGTCGATCGACGCAAAACAAAATAAAGAAAACAAAAACTTCCTCACGTGTTTTCATGAAATCTACCACGTTACCTTAAGAATAGTGGTGGACGTCGATTTTCCGCTCCTACTCATCAAGCCCATTCCGTAGATACCCATATTGCATGGCGTTGGATGCATATTCGCTGTCTGGAGACCACCATATTGGATTTTGGTCCGCCATCTTGGGTTCCAAAATGGTGGCGGATGTCGATTTTCCACTTCTACTCATCGAGCCCATTCCATAGATACTCATATTGCATGGGCTTAGATGCATATACGCTGTCCGGAGGCCGCCGAAAGTATAGAGATGATAGTTCCGTTAGAGTACCGCAGTTTGAAAATTGTATATAGAGAGTGAACCGATTCGTACCTTCCTTCTTTGCTTGCTTTCTATAATATATAACGCAAAGTAAGTTTTTGGCATATTTATTTCATTCAACTTCAATAGCATAACCGTACGCTCGCACCTTACGCTTAACTCCACTCATTAGGTTCTGTACAGCATCTGGCTGCAGCTTCTTCTGTACGGAAATCCACTTTTTCTTCATGACCTCCTTGGGATGCTTCCATAGTGCCTGCTTCATAATAACCCAGTATTTTTCAATGGGCCATAGTTCCGGTGCGTTGGGGGGCGGGGTTCATGTCCTTGGGTACTAAAGTGACCCCGTTGGCTTCGTACCACTCCAGGACAACATTTGAATAGTGGCACGAAGCAAGATCCGGCCAGAAGATTGTAGGGCCCTCGACAGCGTAGGGCAACAGAGGAAGCAGACGTAGACACTCCTTGAGATAGATCTCCCCGTTTACAGTTCCGGTAGTCACGAACGGCGCACTCCGTTTGCCACATGAGCAGATCGCTTGCCAAATCATGTATTTCTTGGCAAACTTTGAAAGTTTCTGCTTCCGTACTTCCTCTGGAACATCAAACTTGTGCTGGGCGGTGAAGAACAGTAGCCCCGGAAGCTGCCGGAAGTCCGCCTTGACGTAAGTCTCATCATCCATGATGAGACAATGAGGCTTCATCAGCATCTGGGCTGACAGTTTCCGGGTCGTGACTTTCCCACCGTATTTTGCCGTTCGCCACGATTTGGAGCCTTCTGCACTTTGTCGTAATGCAGTCCCTCCCGGTCTTTGGCTCTCTGAACCAAAGACTTGGACAGATTCAATTTTTTGGCCACATCCCTGACCGAAGCATTGGGATTCCGCTTAAACGCTTGTGATCCTGATCACTAAAAGAACATCCATTCTGACCGCATTTCTCCTTCCGTTCGATTCTCAGAGTTTCGTAGTAACGTTTAATCACACGATTCACCGTTGACTGCATAATTCCGAGTTGTTTTCCGATGTCCCGATGAGAGGGTTGAGGATTTTTCAGGAGCAAAATCAATTCGCGACGATGATTTTCGGGTGACGCCATTTTTTCCAACTTTCGAAAAACTGACAGCGGTAACAATACAGTATAAACAATACACTCTTAACTACTTCTACCCAAATTTTCAAGAGAAAATACCCAATGGGTAATTTTCTACAGCGTTTTTTTTTCGTGATGCAATTTGATGTGGGACACCCTTTACCTTTAATTTGGGTTATTGGATCAACCCGTGAATTGAGGGAAAAGTACTTAATTTTGGGTAGTTTTTCATCTCCGTGTCTATCATATAAAATGACCACTTTAAGCCTGTTATTTGAAACTTATCATCTTAAACTTAATTTAAAGTCACTAAAGTCACTGTTTCTTTAAATTTAGTTACTAAAATTCCTTTTTTTTTTAAACCAACGTTGAGTGTAAATCAAAACAAATCAAATCTTAGCTTGATATCAATGGACATCTATCAATTGATGCAATCGTTTGAGGAAATATTGGAAACATTTACTTACAATGTTTTTAACAAAAACTGGTCGGGACAAGCTTAACTTATGTAGATCAAATAAATGTACATCATTGTTCATATTGCCTTGAACAGGCATGGAAAATCATTTGCATTCATTTCGTGCATTCATTTACATTCATGTGCCTCTTACTTTTTTCTTCAACAGCATTTCGCAAAATGATGTATGTAGCTTTTGTAGGTTTAGTTATTAAATACAACTTTTGTTAACAAGTCAAATCCGTATCTCTTATACATGACGAACCAGAGCTAACAGAAGCCACTACTGTTTTACAGTGAATGTATTTTACATTCACTGAAAAACAGTAACAAGGTCTGCCCGTTCTAGTTCGTGATGCATAAGAGATACAGATTTGAGTTTTGAGCAAAAGTTGTAGTTAATAACAAAACCTATAAAAGCTGTATGCATCATTTTGCCAAATGCTGTTGATGAAAAAAGTTAGAAGCAAATTAATGTAAATGGATGTATGAAATGAATGCAAATGATTTTCCATGCCTGCCCTTGAAGGCTTTTCGGAAGGAAGCATGCAGTATTGAATAATAATAAAAAAAAATGAGTCTACTAGCGACAGCGCTCTGATGAGACAGCGAAACCCCATCCAAACTCATATCTTTCAACGATGTACCCCTCTAACCTCGGGTAGGCCACGAGTATTCGGTCCAACTTCTACAAGAATTCTTCTAGAATTAAGTGATTTTTGTTACAAATAATGAACAACGAATTATCGACTCCGTAAAGCTAACGCAATTGAGCCTTCAAAATAAATGAACTACATTTAAAAAATATACAAAAATGAGTGGTAGAGGGTTAAGATACATTCAACAACCACCAATCTAATCACATCGTTTTCATTTATCCGTCACATTCCAGGCAGCAACATCCTGCTGTGGCGCCGAGGGATTGCCGTCATAACGGCAGCCAACCTCATCATCACCCGGGACTTGCGCTTCAAGTTGCTGAAAGGCTACACGCTGCAGATTAAAAACGTCCGACCGCAGGACGCCGGTGACTACAGTTGCCAGGTTGGCGATCACGACAATCGGGATCTGGTGCACACGGTGGAAATTCTGGTTCCACCGACGGTGCGCTCCAACCCGGAAACGGGCCACGTGACGGTACGGAAGGGTGGCACCGCAACGCTCGAGTGCAAAGCCAGCGGAAATCCCGTGCCCAGTATCAGCTGGACCAGAAAGGTTTGGACCCATTCAATGGGAGCCAGCGGAACGAGGGTAAATCCTTTGAATAATGTTTGGATTTTACAGGATTCTCTGCACGGGGTGCCCCATCTGGCAGAGGGACCGACGTTGACGCTCGAGACCGTCAGCCGGCAGGACAGTGGAACGTACCGATGCTATGCGGACAATGGAATTCGGGAGCCCGTCTCTGTCGACATACAACTCATCGTGCTGTGTAAGTAGGCAAACAAATTTGTCACTTTGATGAATGCTGGAATTTGTGTTTGTGTGTGGATGAATTTCGTTTCCGAAACATTGTGAGCTAATTAGATGACACCGTTGCGGAGGGGAATTGTTTCAGCAATTTAAATACCAACCGTGTGACGTAAATTCAGTTAACAAGCTATGAATTTTAATATCAATTTGCTGAAACTGAATTTGGAATTTTCAAAATGCTAATCGTCTTTCGAATATTGCTTTGAACTATCCATCGTTATGGAAAACAACTTATCCACTGCGTGCAGACTCCCCGCAAATACCGTTAAAGCACATTCCAGCTGTCAAATTGAATTTCCCAACCATCGCAACTCTCCCCGCCCGGCGAATCAGAAAGCCAATTTACCGGAAGACTTCAAAGGAAAAAAAACCGAAAAGCTCCACCGAACGAGCAGTTTGAGCAATGACTGTCAAAAATGTAACCACTTTTGAGAAGGGTTCACCGCTCGCTCGCGCTGGCCCGCTCTGGCAAACCAAAGTATTCAAAACATGCAAATCAGGCCCAGAGGGCGGGTGGCCATGGGAGTCAGGTCGGAGGTCGAAACAGATTGGAACAGAAGACGCAACAAGTCATTGAAGCGGAGTGAAAATCATTTTCCCAGAAGTAAACGCACTCTTTCGTGCCCTTTTTCCGATTGTTTTCCTTCCGATGGAAGGGGGATGGAATGGGGGCGGGATGATACAGTATTTCCTTTTTCTCGTATTCAAGTGTGTATGCAGTGTCGTAATGGCAGACGGTTTTCTGTTTTGATGTAATTTCCGTCCGTTTTTCTTTTGTTTTTTTTTTTAACATTCTACTTGCTGTATTGTACAAAAAGCGTTTCAAGTACCCTTACATTATCCCTTTTTATGGGTAGCTGATTTCGTAAATGCCAACTGGGCTGGGCAGCAGGCTTGATGCGGCGCAGGAGCTGCGGGTTTCATGATTAAAATGATTGCTTTCTTTTTTGCTGAGCTCCGAGCACCCGAGCAGTTGGGGAGGAAATTAATTTTGTTTAACTTGGATTTCCCGCTCTCTGCAGGTTTCCACGCCAAGGTCGGTGATCCTCAAATCCAACCCGCATCGATGTTCGGCGAGAAACCGCCGGGGGTGTTGTTTTATCGAGATTTCTTCTGGGGATGACTGGTTATTGTTGTTGTTGTTGCTGTTGTTGGTTTGAACTTTATTAGAGTTATGTTTTCTTTTTCTTGTTATTGTTTTCCTTTGCAGCTCCTCCGGAAATAACCGTTGAGAAAACTTGGGTCCATGCAGGAGAAGGCTACGAAGCCCAGCTGGTTTGCACGGTTCATGGCGATTCTACACCGGAGGTAAGTTTTATTTTTGAAGTTGGTAATTTGTTTGTTATTTATTTGATGATCTTTAGCTTGAATTATCAAGGGAAAGTTGAGTGTATTGCTGTTTGTGACTTTTATTTAACTCTACCCATCGATCTTGTGAAGAACATTTTTCGTAAATCACTAGCTCAAAAGTATAACATATTGTGAATGGAGGATTTATTTTTTCTTATTTTCATGTAGGGTAAGTGTCTCAGCTATGGCACTAGTATTCCATATTTTGGCCCTAAGCCCTGTCATAAATTTGATATATTTTTTATGGTTTTATTTGTGTGAATTAGGGTGCCCAGAATCTTGACACTTTTTTTAATAATCCTCTGCGTCATCAATCCATTTCTAGCGGGTTGAAATTCGTATGGGAAAAATCATCAAAATGTATGGAGAAATTCCATGGTTTCAAAGTTTCGCCAATAGGTGCCGTTGTGAACGTGCAAACACCATCGAGGCCGAGATTTTCAGGGGAAATTATATGCCCAACAACCAGGCTTGATGGAGCCTCGCTCGCGAGTTTGAAATGAGCCGAGCGTTGCATTTTTCTGAGGAGTAGAATGCCTACTGCCAAATCATTCCACTGAGCCTCAGAGCTTGTAAGCAAAGGGGGATAAAATGAGAGTGAGGTTTGCTGCCATACATGTTCATGTTTTCTATCACACGCTCTTACTCTCACTCTGGGTGAACTCTGAGCTTCTTACGTCGAACAAAATAGTCATCCGGAGTCTCGAAAAGCACACCTCACGTCAAATCATCCTCTCGCTGAAGTTCACTCTCCCTCTCTCTCGAGGAATTTTTGTTTACTTCTTCCATATTCCTGCCGCCACTCACTCGACTTGAGGGCTGGCTAAACTCGCAGGACAAGAGTGTTTTAAAACCTCCAGTGAGTTTGAAGAGTTTCAGCAAGCCTGCCAACAACTTTGTCGAAGACCACAAGACGACTCAAGTTGCTCCAAAAAATGTATTAACATTTTATTAAAATGATGTCTGACTGATGATGGCAAAGGGCCTAACACAGCAATGCCTAAGCCCATTATGTTTTTAAACTTTGTATGTAGCATGACATCAAATATATCATATTAACAATATGATCCATTCATGCCTTTTCCAAATGTTGCAATGGCGACCCGCAAAATATTGCTTCACGCACCATCTAGCGTTGAAAAAGGTCAGCAACAATCATTCAATTACAATCGAGAAGTGCGAATATAGCACTTATTACAAAAGTAAGAGTCAAATTATTTTCATTAATTACATTGTGCATATTACTTTAAAATTTGTCTGACATGTCACTGTTATCATCAAATAAAATAAAATACTGAAACACATTCATTTTAAATATTAAACAAGTTTTCATTTGGTTTACCCCTCGTGACGATAAACAAATTCATTGGTAGCCTTTTTGGCCACAGAGGTGCTTTCACCGCTAAAAATTCGGTTCGCCAGCTAAGCGAAAGAGAAGATCATATTGTTAATATAATATATATGATAAGTTTGGATGTTTGGTAAGGATAGGTTGCCACATCATGGGTAGGCTGATGTAGATGATGATCATAGGAGGTGGATTGGTGGTTGGAAAGGGGGGGGGGGGTTGATTAAAAATTGTACCTTGACCGATCACCATACGAAAACGGAAATTGGCAGCAGCAACAATTAATACAGTCTCGAACGATTTGTTTACTCCGCCTACGTGCGGCCGAACTGCTAGTCTCGATAAGGAGATTAGCGAAACAAGCTGCTCGAACCACAGTTTAACGGACACCATACCAGCTGGGGCTGTCCTCAAATGGATGCTAGGGGTTACAGACTGGTGGAGGTTCTTAAAAGGGTGTACTTTGTAGTTCTCAACAATGGAGCTCCCACTTATTTCAACGGACGTCACACCACCGCCACCGACATCACAGCGGCTAGTCGGAAATTTTCTCTACGGCAGTGATCATTACCCAGTTCAACTTCAGCTCCATGCCGCCGCTGTCCATGCAGTCACCTGCAGACCCCGCTGTAGATACGAGGAAGCTGACTGGGTAATATACGACGCCAGTATCCGCTTCCTCCTAGAGCAACGCAGCCCGGAAAGTATTCTAGGCCTTACGGAAGTTATCCGTTATACCGAAAACGGAGAGTAAACCATGACGAACAGCCCTCCGCTGGTGAAACAACGACGACACCAAAAAAGCTGTAAAGACACGTCGAAAAGCACTTCTGAAACTCAAACGCCTTCGCCTTGACGACCCAAATCGCAATGCTGCCGTTGACAACTACCGCAAGCTCCACATAATTTAAGACTGCTAAGCAATCCAGCTGGATGAACTTCCTTGATACTATCAATGAATCACAATCCTCAGCGGACCTTTGAAATCGAGTTAACACCCTCAGTGGCAAACGGCGTATGGCTCCATTGCATCTCCAAGTCGATGGCTCCGCGGTATCCGACCTCAAAATTGTTGCAGACGAACTCAGGAAATACTTCGCTGGTCTTTCCGCCATAAACGAGTACGACGTCGACTTCAAACGTCGCGCGCAGTCCTGCTCTACCTCCATCACAAACTTTTAGGAACCACCAGACCCTAGCAACACAGACATCAACCAGGTCTTTTCCTGGGAGGAACTCCGCTTTGCGTTAAGCCGAAGCACTGGCAAATCCGCCGAACTGGACTAGGTTGGCTACCGTCTCCCAACCCACTTACCCGTTCCAGGCTAGGTTAAATTGTTGGAACTATTCAACCAACTTTGGCTGAATGGGATGTACCCTGATAAGTGGAAAGAGAGCCTCGTCGTGCCCATCCCGAAAACAAACGAATCATCTCGTGAAGCATCCAAATACCGTCCGATTGCTCTCAACTGCTTCATGGCCAAAGTGATTGAAACGATGGTAAACCGTAGACTTATACAATTCCCTATTTCCCAATTCCCTACTCGACAACCGGCTTTTCAACAGAAATACGACACCTCCACGTACTTTGCGACACTCGGAGACGTTCTCCAGGAAGCCAAGAACAAAAACAACCACATTGATATGATATCCCTTGTCATTTAGAAGGCTTTCAACAGAACGTGGACACCCCTCATTCTCAACCAACTCGCCGGTTAAGGTTTGAAAGGGTCAATAATCCACTTTGTCAAAAACTTCCTCACCGATCGTTGTTTCCTAGTTGGCGACACACGGTTCCAGTTGACTGAAACTTCCACGCAACATCTTCATCTTTGTTTACGCCGATGACGTCCTCGTAGTTTCCGTCGGCCGAACGCCAACTCGAACCCGGATGAGAGCACATGCTGCCGTTTCTGCGGCTGCCAGATGAACCCGTTCGATCTGTTTTCAACTATCCGCCGCAAAGAGCGTCATGTGCAACGCATGCTCCTCTTCTCATCGTGTAACCGGACCACCGATACAGTTTAATAACACTGCCATCCCACTGCGGAAAACCGTAAAAATCCTGGGTGTTCTCATCGACCGGAAGCTCTGCTGTGAGCCCTATTACCCATCCGTTTAATCCAGCTGTCGTAACAGGCTATACCTAGTGCGGGCTATCTCCAGGCAGCACCGATCCAACTATATAGGGGGACGGGTTACCCTAAACGGCAGTTTTCAAAACTGTTATTAATAACCCTTAAATAACGAGTTTTGCACTCAGGGGACTACAGGATGGTCCACCGAAAGATCCGGAACACCCGTATATGTAGTCAATGCATGAAATTGATCCTAAAGCTCCTCGTTTTTCGAACCCACTCATAAACGTCTTACCAACATGAATCCGAGGTTGTGATCGGAATATGGACGCTTTGGACTACGGGATGGTCCTTTTGAAGATTCGAAACGTGCGTAAAAGTGGTAAATTCATGAAACTGATCCTAAACATCCGCGATTTTTTCGAAACCTCTCATAAAAATCTTATTATAATTAATGAGAAGTTAAAGGTGGCCAACTATCTGCTTAACAACTTCTCCAAAGGCATCAGGAAGTTATCTCTTCAAATTGCCGTACAATCAGTGTTTGGTCCCAATCAGCTCAAATCCCATATGCTACGTGTATTCGTTAATGCCGGATCGACCGTACTATAGGAATCCGGCAAGAACGAATCCTTACTATAGGAATCTTGACTGTATACACCTCGAACACCTGAGCACACGTCGAGGCACAACCCTACAGTTAATTTCTCTAATATCACACGCTTCACTTTACCTTATTTCCCCAGCACCAACGCTAGATTGCGGTTTGGATCTTCGGATGGAAGATCATACACTCGCATTATATCTCCTGAACGTGATATGCATACCTTTACTGTTTTTCTATTCGAATAATGGAAAATTAAATCCATCGAGTTAAACAATGTATTACAATGTAGACTGGCCTACATTTATATGGGAGAAATTTTCTACCGTTTATTCAACGTGCCAACCCCTAGATTTGTGCCACTAGGTGAGAAAACCGCTCTCTGAAAATTTCAGTTCAGGCCTTTTTGGTTTAAAATTTATATGGGAATTTCAGTTGAAATGTATGGAGCAACAACAGTCATTCACTCTTTCTTGCATTAGAACTGGTTCAGCAAACTTTATCCAGAATTTCAGCACGTGTAGCTTCAACTATACGGAACAACTTTGCTCAACACAGCATCATGAATAATGCTATTGTTATGGAGATATTTATTCTTAAATTGATATGTGATGATATTGTAACAAAATACATGCAGATGCAGAAACGTATCTATTAGATTACCACTAAAAAATGAAAGTTCATATTTTCAACAGACTCGTGTCTTTAGGTGAGATAACCACTCTCTGAATGATTCAGCTGTTTTGGCGTAATACGGGCTGACGCTTTTAATAGCAACGTTCATAAACAACATGCTCATATACATTTAAAAGCGAATGTATCAATAAATTTTTTGGTATTTATGATATCATTCGTATTTTATGAAAATACGAACCAAATTGAGAATAAGGAAATTGGATTTATGATTGTGGTTTCATGTTTTCATGTG